GAACCGCCAACCTTCTGATCGGCAAACCCAAGAGGCTCAGTGGTTTAGCCTACAGCACCACCAACACGCTGTACTAGGTAGGTCATTGGTCTAATCCAATGCTCTTCTTATGCATTTATAACTGCCACATTAGACCAGCTTTATCTGATTCCCTTGTAGGTCCACCATTTACATTTATCACATGGAAGGATCTTGGATCTGTTACAGTCATACCTCGGGTTACAGACGCTTCGGGTTGCACAATTTCGGGTTGCGCACCGTGCCAAATCCGGAAGTACTGGGACGGGTTACTTCCGGGTTTTGGCGCTTGTGCATGTGCAGAAGCACTAAATCGTGCTTTGTGCATGTGCAGAAGCACCGAATCGCGGTCCGTGCGTGCGCAGACACGCGGGTCGCGGGTCGCGAACGTGCCTCCTGCACTGATCACGTTCGCAACCCAAGCGTCCACTGTATCTTGCGCAATGGGAGATGTGGTACTGATGTGGCTAAATACAATGTGACTCAACTGATCCATGTGAAGCACCGTCAAATGTTCCTAAAGCCAAACGAAACCCTGACCACACAAATGGCAGCCACATTGCATGCAAACATTTGAATGATGCAATTGGAATTGTTATGTAATTAAATTGAATAATGCAATTAAACAAAATAGTGCAATTAAAATCAAGCTACGGGGACAAGAAAAGGTATGACAGGAGCTGAAGGGATATAGACACAGTGGGACAGAGGCAAAAAGCTTTGGCTGCATGAAATCAAGTTGCGGTTGATTTATTTGCTATGCATAGATTAAGCATCTTTAGTTGGTTAACTGATGGGTGCCGATTTTAATCACCGAATTTTAACTGGCAGCACTGCAAGTTAAGAGCACACTTCTTTTTGAAGTCTGTTCTTTCCCTGGTGTGCTACTGTAAGAGAAAAGGAGAAATGAAATATTAAAAGTAGCCTTACTTTTCAGCAACAAGATGTTGTTTTTCTTTACTACATTGAAAGGCGCTTACCTTGAGATGTTGCTAATATGCATATTAATTTAAATGTAATTAGCAGCCGGATCAATACATCGGTTAACAGGCTCGTGATGAATTTTATATTAATTGACAACTCTATAAATGACAGGTCAGTAAAACAATACATCAGGAACTAACAGTGTTGCTGTGGTTAATTATTTATAATATGAAGCTAGGCTTTCCAAACAGAAGAAAAGGACAAGTCCCTGCCTATAGATTGCAGTCTTAACAATGCAGTTCATAATGCACCACAATATGTGAACTTTCAAATTACAGACTACTCTGCCTTTGCTAGGTGTCCAAGAAAAGAAACGAACTGTAGAGATTAAATATATATTTCTGAGTGCAGAAGGCACAGTTTTAAGTCCACACTTATTTTTGTCTACACATTATTTTAGCCTTAAATTGGAAAGTTCGGGATTAGGAGGCACCTTGTGTTACATGGAGGGATTCCAGGATAAAAATTGAATTTGGTGGGAAATAGCAGTAAGCAATATCAGGTTGTGTTTTTTTTAGCCCTGCTGGGAATATATGAGTTCCTTTTAAGGCAAAGTAAACAAAGAAAGTGGCAGTACTTCCAGCAACAAAGAAAATAATTCTAAAAGGACATTATGCAAACCATCAGTAGAAACCATATTGGATGGTACAGCCATATTTCATCACTGAAAGAGGTTGAGTTTTGGCCTACGAGGGGAGAAACATTCAGCTCTCTAGCCTTTGCCAACCTGGTGTCCTCCTCAGCCTTAGTCAGCACAGCTAGGATGGACAAAGCTGCACTAGATAATGTCACACAATGATAGGTTAAAAATGGGACCTCTGTTTTCATATGTAGCATGGCTCTGATTGAAATGGAAGGCCCAATGTTGTGGACTCTGGGACATCTGACTTACCACACCTCGTGAAAGAGTTCTGGCTTTAATGGACATATGGTTATATCAAGCAAAGCATCTCCTGTTGTAATATAAAATGGCATGAATATAATCTTGCCTTGCTTTTGAATCTGAGGGAAACTGCTGCAAAGTCATCTGTCTGTGATTGTTGTTATTTCAATTGTATACTGCCCATCACGTGAAGATCTCGGGGAGGTCTCACTCCATAAAAATACAAAACACTTAATAAAAACAAAGAAAGAAAGAAAGAAAGAAAGAAAGAAAGAAAGAAACCTCTTCCCTCTCTGTGCAAGTATATCATCTGAGCAAATAATCATTGGAAATACGAGATCAAGAAAGTAGGTTTTCCTTGTACCTCCTGGAAATGGAATTTGAAACAATTAAGAATATTGGTTGGATATGCTAGAAATACTGTATAAGGGCCCTGCGATCTGTGGCTGAAGGGCACTATACAAGTATGTACATGTATATATACACATACATAATCATAGGTTACAATTTTGCTATTACTAGGATGAAGATTGTATTCACTCTGTGGAGAGATTATTTACTGCAACCCTTCTGATTGCAGTAAAATTATAATAGCGAGCCAATAGAGAAGCTTATCTTCTCATGTGGCTGAATAGTTGAGAAATATTAATTGAATAAATCTATACGATACATATCTAGAATCTTCAGTCCTTATAAGAAGAAGACCAAACATGCAAGCAGATGATTCGCCAACATCTCACTAAGGCTATGAACACATTAGTGACTTGAAATGCAAGTGGAAGTGGAACTCTTCTGCCCTAGTGGAAGAGCAGCATTGGATATGATGCTGTGTTCCTGTGATCTGCTAAGAAGAAGCTGCTTACCAAAACCAAAATAAAACAAAGGTAATAAAACACTGAATATTCAGTCTTTTACTTCCCTTATTATGTCAAGCCTGCAATGCAACAAGTGCCCATCAAAAGAATCATATTTAAAACTTAAATATAGATATATCCAAATAATATGGTTGTTTCGTGAGAAGGTATTGTTTCAAAGATTATACACATGTTTCTCATTGCGGTGGCTAGATTTTTGCAAATGATTGATTTTTTTCTAATTGCAAAATAACATTGCTCTCCCCAATCCAGAAAGCAGAGATCATATCTCAGTGTTGCTTCATCCATCATCCTGTACTTGTTTCACCCTAAAGCATAGGCTGCTTTCAATTACAATTCAGAAACACTGATGGGAACAAGTAGTTGTTGAAAGTATGCAGCGCGACATTCAGATTCTATGCTACTAAGTTCCAATATTTCCTACTGTATAAAGCGTAAAGCTGGGTTAGTGCACGAATGAAATAGATTCAAATAGCATCATCCAACTGCTCTTCAGTATTGCTTGTAACACATTAATGACTATCCAAGCACTTGAGATTTTAAATAGAAACCTCCTAAATAATTATTACAACAAGTATAAATATCCAATTAAAATTAAATGAAAACAGCTATAATGTAATTGTAAATGAAAACAACCAAAGCCTCAGACTGGCTGGCTGAACCCTGTCCTCAAAAGCTAGGTCACGCAGCTCTTCCAAAATATGCTTAGACTCAGCTGTTTGCAAACCTTTATGGAATAGATATTCCATAGCAACCAGACTAGGGCCTTTTATATTCCCAAATTCCCTTAATTTGCCCAACCATTGGTAAACCTCAGGGATGATAGAGGAACCTAAGGAAGAAGAGTGTTTGCTCCTGGGTGTTTCGCAACAATGACTAAAAACTGTGACTTGAATTAATTCTGAAATATTGAAGGTGGTATTCAACCAAGTTGTACTCACAGCAGACACACTGAAAAGAACGCACTTAGTAATGGTCGTTAATCTACTCTGAGTAAAAGCCTAGTTAACTACCACTCATATAGTATGCTTTTGGGGTTGCTTGATGTCTGCAAATGGGACATGAAGGCTGGCAACATTGACCCCGCCGTGTGGGAATCCCTTGCAGATCACCACAGTGCCTGGAGACACACAGACAGGTTGTGCATCCACAGCAGTGACCAGAAGAGAAATGACTGCTGGGAAGAGTACAGAGAGAAGAAATGCAAGGGTGCATCTGTACTGTGATGGCCTGGGATTCGGATTCAGATGCTGAACCTGAGGAATCCCAGCCTGCAAAGGATTCCCCGCCTCCAGAACCAGCTGAGCCGGGGCTGGGGCTTGAACCTGAAGGGCTCTCACCTGTGCTGGATCCTCAGGTGCAGGCTCTAGCTGAGTCTGCTCTGGCTCCTGAGGTGATGGAGAACCCATTGCCTGCAGGTGCTCCACTCTCAACCCCGTCAGAGGAAGCTGAGGTTGCTTCTGGGTCTGGTAACCCTCCCGCCTCTTCTGAGCTGCAGAGGCTCAGGGCAGAGAGGTGGAGGGAACTAAGTTCCCGCAGGAGGAGTGCTCGCCTCCAGGCCAGGAGGGGCGAGTCACCTGTGGATCGGGGTTGCCCTATGCCTTGGGGCAGATAAAAGCCAGCCAGCCCCAGTCCCAAGTTGTGGGAGCAACTTTGTAGGTTGCCAGTTCCTGCCTGAACCCTGTCCTGCTCTCCTGCCAGTGCTCGTGACCTCACTGGACTCCCTGTCCTGCACCCAGCTTCAGCTTTTATGGACTGCCTCCATATTGCTCCTTCGATCTCAGACTGGACTCAGACCTCGCCTCTCAGTTGACCCACGGGACCAGCACATGTACAGTGAAACCAGATGCCTTCATCAGCCTCAGCTTCAACAAAACATGTCTCTCCCATATCTGTCTTTACAGCCACAGCAAGTGCTGTAACTCTCCGACAGTTTGACTCTACTCCTGGTGGTACACTCCTCCATTGTCCCTCAAGACAGATGAATGCCAACAACAACAGGTGCTTTTATAAACATGTTGGGCCAGTTCTGCAATAGTGCTGTTAGATACAGTTCTATGGAAGCAAAATCAATACCTTCTGCACCAGATCCAAGAGAATGCCCACATAGGATTGGGAACTCCCACAACAGATTTAAGGGGTGCACAGAAGGTGCACATGGAGAGGAGAGGGAGGGAAATTTCCACTGCGCAACCAGAAGTCCTTATTCTAACACAGTGTTTCTCAACCTGTTGGTTCGCAGATGTTGTTGGACTACAACTCCCATCACTCCTAGCCAGCATGACCAGTGGTCAGGGAAGATGGGAGTTGTAGTCCAACAACATCTGGGGACCCACAGGTTGAGAACCGCTGTTCCAATGGAACTGCTTCACTGGATACCACCCCTGGTATGCAACCAAACCATACATTGTACTATCACCACCTCTAATGCCACTGACCAAAAATTACATCTCTAAGCAGAAACTAATAGAACAATCCTATACATGTCTACTCAGAAATAAATCCCATTGAGTTCATTGGAGCTTACTTCCAGGTATTTGAGTACAGGATTTTAGCCTTACTAAATGAAATTTTCTCTTAGCATCTACTTGTTTTCCAACAAATTGTGATTTGTGGGAAATTCTAAAAACTTGGGTGGCATTTAGTTATTCTGAATTTAGTTTCGTGGGCACATCCCCAGTGGTTTTTACAGATCTTTCTGGGGGTGGGGTGGGGGAGAGAAAATCCACTCAGGCGAACTGGAATATGTGAGACAGTACAGAGGCAGCCTGCTACTAAATGTTGAAGATGCATGGCAGTGAAAGCCGGTGAAGAAAATATCACTCATCCAGCTCAGAAAGCCTAATGAGCCATTTTTAAAAACACAAAAGGAATGTGAAAGGCACTTAAAAATGAGTCTGGTAATATTTAGACAAGTGAAACTATGGTCTAATTCACTCACCATGTCAAATTGCAAGCCAATTTCAGAAATCACTCCTTTTTCATTCTCTCTGATGGTCAAGTCACACAGCTTGATATGATGATGGAGCTTCTGTGAGTTACCATTTTTTGCTTTGGTGACAGGTCTTGTAAATGCACCAACACGTGTCAAGAACGTGACTCACCACAGCCTGTTTCAACACATAACCCCCACCAGCAGTATGAGAGGAGCAGCAGCTGGGAAAACTGCTTAGCAGGTAAAAGGGGCAGCAACAACAACAAAAAACCCAACACAGCTCATATGCAACCAGCTGCTCTCACATGGTGGCACACACTGGCGGAGGAAGAGGGGCGGGGGAGCGTACCGTCACCGGCAATGCGATCCTGGTGGGGTGCCATCGTGGCTGCTCCCCGCCCCGCACTGGGCGCCATGCCCCCGCGGGTGGCGTGTCATGCCCCCAGGATACACACCACACCCCCAGGACGTGTGCCAGCCACGCCCCCACCTGCTCTCTGCCCCCCCCCGGTGCCAGAGCATGAAGCTCCACCACTGGTGGCACAATGGGTGCTGCTGGACCAAGAGCTAGCTAGGATTGGTGTGATCTTAAATGCCTACAGCCAGCTTCATCCTCAGCCAGCATCCAGATGCAACGTGTATCTGGATGCTGGCTGAGGATGAACTGTCAGCCATGTTGTCAGCCATGTGTCCAGGGCAGCTGTCTACCAGCTCCATCTGGTATGCAGGCTGAGACCCTACCTGCCCACAGACTGTCTCGCCAGAGTGGTGCAAGCTCTGGTTATCTCCCACTTGGACTACTGCAATGCGCTCTATGTGGCGCTCTACATTTGAAGGTGACCGGGAAATTGAAACTAATTCAGAATACGGCAGCTAGACTGGTGACTGGGAGTGGCTGCCGAGACCATATAACACCAGTCCTGAAAGACCTACATTGGCTCCCAGTACAGTTCCGAACACAATTCAAAGTGTTGGTGATGACCTTTAAAGCCCTCAATGCCCTCGGCCCTGTATACCTGAAGGAGCGTCTCCACCCCCATTGTTAAGCCCGGCCACTGAGGTCCAGCTCCGAGGGCCTTCTGGCAGTTCCCTCACTGTGAAAAGTGAGGTTACAGGGAACCAGGCAGAGGGCCTTCTTGGTAGTGGCACCTGCCCTGTGGAACGCCCCCCCATCAGATGTCAAAGAAATAAACAACTATCTGACTTTTAGAAGACATCTGAAGGCAGCCCTGTTTAGGGAAGTTTTTAATGTTTGATGTTTTATCATGGTTTAAATATTCTGTTGGGAGCTGCCCAGAGTGGCTGGGGAAACCCAGCCAGATGGGCCGGGTATTAGTACTACTACGACGACGACTACTACTACTACTACTACTACTAATAATAATGCCATCTCCATCTAGGGACTGGGTGCAATTCCACCACAGCCCAAACTGGTTGGATGGAGCAGAAGTCATACAAAGACAGTTCTGATCTACTTGTCATTTACTTTCCCCCTCTCACATCTGGTGTGCCCCCTCAGCAGTCCCCCAAGTAGTTTGGGGAGAATGTGAGTGAAGGGAGGATCTTAACCTTGGTCAGGACTGCTGTTAGGGCTTTATAGCCTTAGCTTGCTTTGAACATCAGCTGTTCAGCCTCAAAGTCTTGGCCATTCCCATGCCTGTCCGTGCCCTCCCAAAATCACCAACCCCCATCCATAAGTAGGGAAGCCATGTATTTCCTTTCTCCAGGTCCAAAGGCACACACTGATTCCCTTACTGGCTGCTTTTTTTTGTTCATGTGGTGAATATTTGTGATGCCTGTCAATACATTCAATAGCAATGGATTTAAGCCTGACAAGGTCACTTTCTTTGTTCTCCCCAGTCGTTCTCGGCAACTGCTCCCCTCCACTTCAAAGTTAGCTCGTGCTCAATTTTCTGTATGTTAAATAGCTGCCCATCTTCAGCCTTTTTCTCTTTCAACACTGGAGTTTTAAAAACAAAAAAACACTCTCTCTGCAGCCGAATCTGTTAGAACAGGAAGGTAATGACACATCAAGACAGTGGCAACTACGGTAACAATGCTTAAATCAAAATGAGATTCAGAGATAAGAAGCAGATTCTATCTATCCATCTATGATTAGGAATATTTTTCTATGCACACCTGATTCTTAGGAGAAGCAGACACATGCCTTAGAGCCTCTACAGCATTTCTTTCAAACCAAATATGAAAATGAACGTTCATTTTCCATTTTCCCTCTGCCATAGATGGCTCAGGTCTGCTATGCCTCAAGGACTACCTTTCTCCTTATAAACTGAGCATGCAGTAATCATCTGAGGCCTTTCATTGAGTCCATGAAAGGTCCGGAGGGTGGCAACATGAGAACAGGCTTTTTATGGGGTGGCTCCCTGTTTATGGAATGCTCAGCCCAGGCTCCTTCATTACATGGGTGCCAGGCAAAAATGTTTCTCTTCAACCAGGCCTTTAGCTGATTAACATTCTATAGCCTTATAAACGTGTTTGTGGGAGTGCAGTTATTAGGTTTTTTGTTGTTGTTTTATTATGTATTTTGTGCTTCAATTTTGCATTTTTATGTTGTGAACCACCTTGTAATCTTCAGATGAAGAGTAGTATACTACTACCACTGCTGCTACTACTACTACTACTACTACTACTACTAATAATAATAATAATAATAGAGATTGAGAATATTACCCACATTTCATTGCTATGGACTTCTAGGACTTTGCAACTGGTTCTTAGTTAGAAAACTGCCTCATTTAATTTGTATTTCTGTGAGTCTGAGTAAATGCTGGACTTTTTTTAAAAAAATCACAAACTGATGTGGTGAGATGAATTTCAGATTTGAAAACTGAGAAAATCTGAAACAGGCAAAAATAAATTCCCATCTCTACTCCTGCACCAATGTCTGTGATCTTCTCCTGTAGTTGCCTCATGCCTTAAATAATCTTTGGAAGAATGGGAAAGGACTACCCTGCCACAAATGTCCAGTCAATCCATGCAAACAAAAAGAAGATTAAAGGGTGTTAAGGGCAGCTAATCTATCATAATCTTGGGCCAGTGTCTGCCATCTTGTGCTGTTGTTGACACAAATAAAATACTTAGGAGACCGAAAAAGCCGATGTTGTGGGTGCCATCTTGGTCTCCCAGTCAGTGCTGGGAATAAGCACTGAATTATGGTGTTTAAACAGGCTTGAGAATAGAGTAGAGGGAAAGGGATGATCCTTTTACAAATTTGGGCCACATAAACAAAAAGAGGATTAAAGGGGGAAGGTGCTAAGGGCAGCTAATCCACCATAAGAGGCCTTGTAAACTCCTTTCCAGCCTTCTTAGGAAGTCAGGCCCTTCTGCACCTTTCGGGTTTTGTCATTTTGCTTGATAGTTCATTTACAACTGAAGTCCGGCTGCAAAGCCTGAGCTCAGTATTCGCAACCCAGCCATCCAAGGAGCTGTGTTTAACATCCCCCTGGATAGATGCACACAGCAGCCGTGTGTTTCACAGCTCACTAGGCCTATATAGATTAAATGGTTAAAGTTCCCTCTCTCCAGGGGCGTTTGTGTGAACAGGGTGGGAAATTGAACAATTGCTGAATAAGTAAGACAAATAGATGCATTACATCAGTTGGTCAGGACAATAGACACCCAGATTTCCTGTGATACAAGAAGCGGGGCGGGCAGGAAATAACATTCAGGCGCTGAGAAGCAATGGTATAAATCCATGACTGGAATTGTTTTGTGTCATCGGTTTTCAGCATGTGCTTCAGACTGCTGAAAGGCAAGGCGACCCATTGTCCAAACACACACATTCACGCGCACACACAGTCCGGCTTGCTACACTCCGGAATGCGAGTTTCTGAACGCCACACTGGAAGGCCTCAACGCCTCTGAATGCAGATCAGATTCAAAGGGCTTTGCCAGATTTCTTCCCCTCAAGCTCAGCTTAAATGCATCTGTTCTCGGACTGGGGAATATGTGGCTTAGGTGGCTGGGAAAGAATGGCCGGTTTGTCACAGCTGCAGCACAGTAGTCGGCTCTTTGTGTGGTCCTCTGAGGGGAGCTTTGCACTGGGCCTCCCCAGCTGTGCTATGGAGAGTGGGTGAAGGTGAAAACAGGGAACGCCGCGAGTACAGTGCTCTTTCATACTGAATAGCTCGGGGTGGGAAGGTAATGGCTGAGAGCAAGAGGGCCAAAGGCCAGTTTGTTCCCACTAGGCTGAGAAAAAGGGGGCGAAGAGACAAAACAATTGTTCACTCTCAGGTTCCCTGGAAATCAGAGGCTATGAAGGACTAATGCATTATTCATTCTAGCAGCCCGGGCTATTCTGATAACAGTACTTCAGTAATAAGCCACACAGCTCTAAATACGATACGCTCTGCCTTTCTTGCAGCGTTCCT